TGGTATTTTTTTCCTACTGTAAAAGTCAGTGTGGACCAGCTACTGTTTGGTTACTCACATTCTTCAAAATATCTTCTTTTGTGTTCAGCACAAGAAAGAAATTAATACAGGTTTGGGTCAAAATGTGAGTGAGTAAATAATGACAAAAATAAAAATTTTTGGGTGAACTATCCCTTTAATGACAGGTGGCAGCATATTTAGTAGCTACTGTCCCTTTAAGAGCTTCACGCGTTTCTCTCTCAACTGTTTACTTTCATTTCAGACATAACCAACTGTGTTTATATGTAATCCTTGTGTGTTTTTGACGTGTTATTAGACGCGAAATCAATCAGACGTGAAAGACAACTTAGTCCAATAATCAGGCGCTTTTTGACAGGCTCTCAGTGAGTGCTTCATTATACACGCTCAGAAAAAGCACATGCAGAACAGCACGTGAATTAAATGTTTAACCGGTATTGCTTTAAAGCAGATGGAAATAATGTAGTTTTGTGATTGCGCATAAGTGCAGTGTCCCGTGAGAGTAACTCTACCGCTGAGCTAACACTGATGTGAATGCATGTGGCATTGTACATTATATTGAGACGGAGGGAGGCGCCAGAACTGTATCGCACGCGTGCTACAGTGGTAAATTTATTCATCGCACAGACCAGTTTTTTCGTAGCACATGCGACATATATGTACAGCCCTGTATATATATATTAAATACAGATTTTTTAAAAATACAAATACAAAAATGAAAATACAGAGATATATACCGTATATCGCAAATCGGCCAAAAAATACCGAAATATGAATTTTTGCCCATATCGCCTAGCCCTACTTTGAGTAAATGATTATTGCAGGCTACAAGATAGTAATAGTAGTAGTAGCCTAATTCAGAGTAATAATACATGGCTCAAAACTTAAGCACCTTGTCAAAACAGTTCTGAAGCATGCTTTTTGTTTATGTTTGCTGACAGACACCAGTGTTTCCCACAGACTTGCAAATGCAAATTCATTCTCTGCCAGCAGGAGGCGCTGTTGGAGCGGGAGGTATAGCGGTTGCCCCGGTAATGGCTGTAATCTAATAAGCACTGCTCACAATCGCTACTTTATCAGGCATTACAGGAAAGACACAATGAAAATGACATCGAAGCTTTTCTGAAGACGGTCGGTTCTTTTCAAAGATACATTCATATAAAAACACCCATGCTGCATTTTAATTTTGAAACGTGCAGTGCTCAGTTTATTCAACGAAGTATAAGCCTTTTGGGAAATCTATTTGTGGAGGTGACGAGCCGCCACAAATAACTCAATGTATAGGAAACACTGGACACTGCTAGAGGTCAAATGGCCATAATAAGTGATAACAAAAATAAAAGATTTCACACATATTACACAGCCTGCTGCTCATAACTGCTTAAGAGTGCGCTGGCCACGAGCGATGACATCGTGGATGATATTGTCGGACCCACAGACACATTTCATGAGGAAAGTTAACGTGCACGTTATAATCAGCCCAGA